GTCATCGTCTTAACTAGTGCTTTAAATATTAAATGTTACCAGTAATCATTACTTTCTGTCAATACAATAGTTTAACTTTATTTGCAAAAAAAAAAATACAATAGTTTAAATTGTTGGTATTACTATAGCTGTTTTTAAAGTTGGTAGCAGACAAACAATACTAAATGAATTATATATTAATTAATTAATAATAAATAAATTTTCAAATTATACATTTTTTACTTGCCTTAGCATATCTTTTTGGTACTAGAATCAATAAAACTGGTTTCTCAAGTGATTAAAATAAGTAGATTGAAATGACTATAAACTGAGTGACAGCAAATTCAAAATTTTCAAATTTATATATTTTTTTCAAAGAGTATTGTAGTTTATATGGAATTGATTACTACAGTGTTCCCGCAAACATTTTTTCCATTAAATAAAGCATTAGAATATACCTGTGAAAAGATATAGCCTACTTATTTTTCTAATGTTTTCAAATGAAAGAATTAATTAATTAATTAATTGCAAAAAATTAGAAATATATTAAGAATTTCAATTAATCTATCATAAATTTTTCCATTAAAATATATTCTATAATTATAATTTATTTTTTATTTATTTTTACTTACTTTTCTGTGACTTTCTTTCCAAAACTAATTGAAGATAAAAGACTTCCTGTATTGATATTTGTTCTAAGTTGTAAGGGATTTTGATCAATATATTTGTGATAAAGTATAGAAAATGGTTTGCCTTTTTTACCACTTCCAAATTGCATTTTACTTCCCAAAGGAAGAAAAGCAGCAGAATGTGCCAACAATGCTACCTGGGCTTTTTTAGCTGCTTGAAGTAATTTTGTATTAGCATCAGAGGAATTTAGAAAACTTGTTACCATATCATAGGATTGAGTGATAATTGATGTCTCCAAGTATGCCTAGTTAAAATACATAAGATAGAATGACTCAAAACTGGGTATAAGATAATAGACACTGCATATATAACCAATATCCAGCAAGAAGAAACTACATGAAAGCAAACATTTTCATCTCTGTTTAATGGGCATCATCAGGCTAACTGACCTTCACAGTTGTTAAAACAAACAGAAAAGTTACTAGGAATAGTTGATTGCTTTCCATGTGTTAAAAGGTGAGGGACATAAGAGGGAGGAGAGAAAGATTAAACTTTGTAGATTGACTTCCATGCAGGGAAGAAGGAGTCTACATATCTAAAGTTGATTGCTGAATTTTTTCTTGTGGCTTTGTAAATTTCTAATTGTTCTAAATATCTAAGCTGTTCTTTGTGGGAGGTGCCATGTGGGAGGCATGATTGATTGAAATGTACAATACATCTGTATCAGGGTCAGAGATAAAGGTTGCTAATGTGGTATTGACCAGCTCCTTCATGCTTGAAGTCCAATGTTCTTTGAGGTGGATGTTTTTCTTCAAGATGGCTGATTTCAGTGCCTTAATTTGTTGAGCCTTACCCTTTCATCTGACACCAAAACAGGAATAAGGAACTCCAAACTATCACACAGTATGCCAGACAACATGGCTACTCTCCAAACACAATCAAAGGTATAATTTGTCGTCATTCCTCCACCACCTCCATCCTAATAATTGCACCCATGATACTGTATAAAAAGCTAAAAGAATGGCGGCTCTGTAGAAAGAAATTGCCAGAAATAATAACTTTTGATTAGTTTCCATAAGTCCCTCAAAACCCAACTTTCATCCTTCTCTGCAATGCTAAAGCCCATCCAGACATAACCTGCCAACCTGCTATTCCTAATAACTTTTCTGTTGTGGTGATACACCAATGTATTTTGTTATATTTTATATATATGTTTTATATGTGTTTTTCTATTTTTCCTTCCTTCTTTGTTCTGTGTTCCTTTGTATACTTCCTGGAACTTTCTTTCAAGTGTGGGTGGTGGATGATCTGGTTAGGGGACAAAAGAAAAGAAATAGCCCAGAGGGCAAGTGGGAGATGAGAGGGTCACTTTTGCTTTGGACCTAGAAGAGGGAAGACGTGTCAGAGGTCTCCAGGTCATTGTAGCATCGACTGGAAGAAGGTCACAAAACGTTCAGAAGAAAGAAGTATCGTGACTAAAGAACTAAGAAACTTATTCGTAGACTCTCCCATATGATCCATCCCCAAAAGAAATTCCAGGACGACATCATCCAACCACCGCCACCTCGATCACCAACTCGGGTACCCGTTCATGCTTAAAACTATATTCCTGTCCCTCATGATCTATCCTTTTCTCTCTTTCTTTTTTTTTATTTAGAGTAAGTAGGTTTAAGTTAGAAAATAAGTATTTTCTTTGTATCGCAAAATAAAACTTATTTGACTGTGGATCTGAACAGGTGTTGCTTTTTTTTTGTTGGAAAATAAGGAATCAGGAGTGTCGGAATCCACAAGAATTTTTCTTGTAGAAGTTTATACGAGAAAAAATAAAAGCACGTTTTATTGTTTTAATACCTGTCTGTAAAAATCAAAACTCACCACGTGCATACAACAACACTGTTTGTTTTAACAACTGCAAAGATCAGTTAGCCTGATAGTGAATTTGGTTATTGTTATTAACTGAACATGGACAAAAATATTTGTTTTCTTGTAGATTCTTCTTGTTGCATATTGGTTATATGTGCAGTGTTTAAAACAAACCTTTATTCAATTTACTGACTTTATTTTCTATTTAAAGAAAATTGTAAATAAATTTAAATAAATGCATGATATTTACTTTTAGAGAAGATGCTTTCTCTGTAGATTTTGCTATTGCATTCAGACATTTAGTTTTATAAGCAGTTTCTTTGTGATTACAAAGTGGCAAAACACATGAATGTAAGGCAGAAACTTGGCTAGAAACCTGAGTAACTGTAGGAAATTCTGCAACTGAATTAACTGTATACATCACAATATCGTCCATTTGTTCTTTTGTAAACTGTGTGTTGTTGTTGTTGTTGAAAGAAAAACATGAAAACAAACATAAAGCTTTTAATGAATTCCCTGGAAAAAAAAAACACAGTTTTAATGATAATAAAAACTACAGTAACAAATAAAAGTATTTGTTAAAACTATCAAAAGTTCAACATTAAAATACACTTTATTAAAAATCAAGTCATATTTTTAAAGCTTTTTAATTCTTATCAATTTGTCTTTATGGGCAATTAGTATAGTTCTAATTATAGTACACTTAATTCTTTTTACCTCTATGTCCTTATTCTTGTAAATTTCTGTGTATTATCCTGTCTACTTGGACCTTGTTTATTAATTGGACTTATTATACTGGTATAGTTTCCAATTAGCAAACAGAGGAGAACTTAGTCAAAAGTTAAAATAAAAATGGTATAAAACAAGTCCACAATATATATGGTAAGTTAAAATACATTATAAAAACTTTGTAATCAGAATTTGGTTATCATTATTATCTTTGAATAAGTAGATCTTTTTAAGCTCTGTGCTATTAGCTTCAACATGTAGCTGATAACACATAATTGTTANTTTTTTTTTTTTTTTGATGATATGAAACCGTGCTTTACAATTTGTTTATGCTTCTAACACAATAATAAAGATGAGAAAACCCGCCAAGTGTCTTAATATATACCACTTTATTGTGTTAGAAGCATAAACTAATTAGTTTTATCAAAATTCTAGATGATGATACTGATCAAATAATCACCATTTTGTAGCAATTTGTTATACAGTTTCAATTTATTTGAAAAATTTGTACTTAAAGTTTATTTATTAATTATAATTAGGGTTTCTCTAACGGGATCCTGGAATCCTGGCTGGAAAGAAAACAATCCCAGGATATTCTTTTCTTTCTGGGAAATCCCACAAATTTCTTAAAAATTCACTTTTTTCTTATTTTGTGTTAAGGTCAAGGAAATTTTATAAATAGATACTATAATTAACTTATAAACTGTCAGAATACATTTGTATTTATTAATTTTAAGCCTGCTTATTTGTTTTTAAATTTTTGCTTGTTATGGCATGTCACAGATTGTTAATAATCAATATGTTTTACTTTTACTTTTTTTACAATTATTTTTCAGAATTTGTAATATCTTGAATAATTGCACTGATGCTGTCTTAATTTTTAACCATGCCCAGTAGCTTCAGATTGTGCAAGGATACAAATGACTACGAAGTATGCAAGTATGAAATTTTTTTCTTTATAAATCTGATTATTAAAGCCAAACAAACTGCCGAGTTATCGGGGTGTAAGCTTGATGACGCTATTAAAGCAGCCAAGTGAGACATATCAAGAATACTAGAGGGCAAAAGAAGTACTGTAACACATCTTGAAAATAAACTAGAAATCTTTGAGGCTACAGGTGAAAAAACACATAACATCTGTCTTCTCTTAAATGCATTAAAGACAATTCCACGCATATCAATTGAATTGGAAAGGACATTCTCGGTAGCAGGACTTTTCATTACTAAAATAAGAACGAGATTGAGTAATGAAACTATTGACCATCTTTGCTTTTTAAAATCTTATTATAAAAATTTACAATAATATTTTGTATTATGTTTTATTTAAAAAAATGAAAATTACCTTCTATGTTAGAAGTTTGATCTAATTTCATTTTTTCTTTAAATTTTCAACTCAATTCAAAGGCATTTTTTTTTGTTGTAAGCAATTTGCAACAAACTTTAAAAAATTTTTCTATTTGTGAAAATTTCTATCAATATGTACAAAGGTAATTTTTAAT